CATGTGGGAGCCAACTGCCTAACCAACATGCCCCTGGCTGGCCCAAATGCATTGCTTTTTGACATAGGTGTTAATCCTGGGAGATAAATGCCAAACTTGACATTAGTTTTGATTGTCCCCTTCCTTTATTTTGGTCTTGGAGTTTGAAATACTGATTTCAGTATAGGAAAACATGTTGAAAGGGGATGGTAAGTGGTGTCCTGTGAGAAGGGCATCATAGCTTAGACGACGCAGAGAGATGCTTCATAGGAACCTCTGGAGAAGGGCTTGAATTGTGGATTCTGAAAACATCTACTATTAAGATATTAACAGAAGTTACAGTTGCTTTTCACTCAATTTGAGGAGCTGGAGGAAAGGATTGAGCTCATGCTTAGGGGCTTGTGTGTAGATAGCTGGACTTGAAGGAAAAATAATGGCTTGCATAGGGACCATTCAGTGGGATGCATTGGAAAGTAACAGCTAGGGTATACTGGTAAAGTAAACATTTACTAAGAATTCTCAAAAACTTTAGGATAGGAAGTATATCTGAATAGCAAAGGAGCTTCAACTATTAATATCAAAGTAAAGGCATCAAAAACTCGCAAAAGTCAGAGACCCTTGGTTATAATTTCCAAATTCACATCTCTAATTAGCACAATATCTCTGAGATTCGGTGCCCATATAGCTAACATTTACAATGACTTTAAGAATGGAGAGGGAGAGCTTTGCTAGGGACAAATTCATTAACATCAAGGAATACCTGCAAGTCTAATACATCTGGTTGGAATCCTGATTCTGTATAAATTCTTATCCAATATTATTTCTTTGAGTTATGACCTATGGCTGCTACATGGTATTTCCTCTTGCAATTTATCAGTGTGCTTGGGTCTCTCTCAACCTCCCTATTTCTGGTTTATAGCATTTGTCCTTGTGCTCTGGTTTATCCTCACAATTCTTTCATCAGCTATCTGAAGAGTTATCATCTTGGTTCTGATTACCAATGTGCCTGGTCTTTACTTCAGGTACTCAGTAACTGTCTGTTAAATTCATGAATGCTCCTCCGTAAATCACTGTAATCCACAATTTCAACAGTTTTAGCCACCAAGGAACCTTGAACATCATTCCATTTCCATCAGACTAACTTCTGGAAGTATTTCTTGACATCAATGCATTCTCATTTAAGAAAATCTATTCTCCAGTTAAAGACTTTAAGACTTCATAAGACATAGAAGTCAAACTGAGGATATTTTTCCAGGAATGTAAATCTCTGTAAGCCTTTCTCTCATTTTATGCTTTACTTTCATTTCCTAGTTAATAGAACCAACCTGTCTTGATTATTTCAGGATCAAAAATTGCTCTCAGGAAATATCTGATAGCTACACTAGGCAGTGTGAGTTATATATCCTGACGTGTTGTATATCACAACGTTGTATGCGTTTTAGTAGTACCACAGAAATGATGAGTATTACTTAACTTATAGTCTGTCAGGCATTGTACTACATTTAATCCTTGTGTCAACTCTATTAGGTGAGCATTGTCCTGTTATTTATTTAATAGATGATAAAACTAGGGATTACAGATGTAAAGTGACTTGCTTGGAGAAAGAAATTACAGAGTGGGAAATGTAGGCTTTGAAGAACCCAGATTTTCTGAATCCTAAGTCTATGCTGTAACCATAGTGATCATAAAATGTATTGGTTCACATAAACAAAGTGAAGTAATAAATTGTGTTTGCGGGAGGTATTAGTAAATATAATATCCATTTGTGGAAGCATACCTCCCAGTCAGCTCCTATCCTGCTATTCATGAGGCCAAGGATATTATTTTGCTTGGCAGTATTCCAATCTAAATAAAGACAATCAAACAGATTCCTCCCCTCCCCCCTCCACACACATGTTTCTGGATTACAACTGTGCGACTTTGAAAGTCAGTAGCCTCTAGGGACACATCTGAAAGTAAGATTTCGAAAACACTTGCATTTGCATTTCAAAATGTCTTTTTTTAAAAAAAAATCCAGCAAACAGTCATATTCATTAGGGAATTATGCTATAATCCCTACAAAGAAGGATAGAATTCAATTTCTATCAGTATCCCTGTTTTCATTTTCCTCACTAAAATCATCTGCAAAGGAAGATGTTTGTTTTGATTTTTTTCTTTTTTAAAAGAATTATTTATTTAATTTTGTTTATTATTTTTTAATTTGACCAGACAGAAAGACAGAGAGGGAAAGTGAGAAAGCAAGCCACCAGGTCCAAGACTCAAACCATAGTCAGCCATGTGGGAGTCCAGTACCACAACAACCATGTCACCTCTGGTCCTTGATTTTATTTTTAACTGAAACTCTATAGTCACTAAGGAGCTTAGTGGGAAGAAGGTTGTGTGATTGTGTGCACACACTCGTGTTGAAATCAATTAATAATTTCTGTTTTATCTTCTTTTATTACATGTTCATCTTTTTCAATTCAGCCCCACTTTCAAATGATGCTTGTCTGGAATGCTCATTGAATGATTTTATATTTTTCTAGAAAGATAATTTCCCATTAAAAAATATCTCAGAAGTCAGCAGAATTTTATGTAAAGTGTGAAAACAGCTAAATGCTTCTTGAGCTCCACTACTTTTACATAATCTGTTTTACTAATATTCTTAAGGCAAATGATACTATTAAATATATACACTTCTCAACAGAAACATCCTCAATATATTGTGGGTGGGTTTTACTAAGAACATATGAAGTGACAGCAGTTTGCTGCTGTGGTTTGTACTAAGTACATATGAAATCAAGCCTATCAAGTATTGTTGCTCTAAAATTTCTTTTCCTGATCATTTGCTCATGTTAATACATTATTTAGAAGGCTCATAAGAGGTAATCTTAGGTCTAACCAGGGGTGCAATGACAATGTTTAACCATAGGCTCTTGGAAAAACACAAATTGTGAATTGCAGCATTTGTCATTTTCCATCATGTAAGTACTCTTCCCCAGGCTGAGGCCTAACACAGGCATGGATCCTAAAGAGGTGAAGGCATCTTCTATGTTTGATCACCTGTCCATTCCTTCACTCTGCTGCTTCTGAATGTTCAGAAATTTGGTGGAGAGACAGAAAATTACAATCAAGGTGTTTTCCTAGACTGCTGGTTTTGCTAGCATTTATGAGAGGTCTTTGAAGAATTTTGGAAAATACATATTGTGAAAAAACTATGCCTGGATTTAAAAAAATTTTTCACTTCAAAATACGCCAATATTTTCATTTCAGTTTTGCATACACTATTTGAAATTCTCTCATATGTAACAAATGACTAAATGCTATTTTTTTTGAAGATCTCTGAAGGGCTCTTAAGTATACTATCTATGCAAAAAATATTTTGAAATCCAGTCTTAGTCTCTCAAAACCAGTAGTTTAGTAAAACCACAATTTACTAGACAAGAGGATACTTCAAATATTATATGTTCTCTGATATTTTAGCTAAATTTTTACAATTCCTTTCCTAACTTTTACACTAATAATTATCCCTCACAGCCTTTGTTTAAATCATCTGATAGCAGCATGTTTTGGTACTTCAAGAGACCTATACTCCAACTGCCTTATGGCTTTGAATAAAACTCAGCATCTTTTCTTTGGAAAGCTCTGGACGTGTGTATCACTCCCTCCACAGGTCCACTCTTAGCTCTGAATTCACAGATGGTGGTGATCAGCCTGTCACCTTTCTCTCTCTCTCTCTCTCTCTCTCTCTCGAGAGAGAGAGAGAGATTTTTGCTATAGGCATGTGCTGCCCACTGGAGAGGCAGAGCGACAGAAAGGAAGAAATCACACCCCCCACCCCCACCCTGGTTGGATGGCCACACCACAATCCCTTCTCTTCCATTCTCCCCTCAGGATCTTGGGCACACATGCACACATGACCAGCATGAGTTTGTTTGTTTGTTTGTTGTTTTGTTTGTTTTTAATGTACCTTTTTTTTTTTTTAGAGGTTTTTGTTACAGGGCATGTGCACTCACCAGAAAGAGAGAGAGAGATAAGAGACAGAAAACGAGAATCATCCCCCAGGGGGGATGGCCACACCACAATCCCTTCTCCTCCATTCTCCTCTGGAGATCTTGGGCATGCACGCACACGTGCCCAGCATGAGTTTAAGCCACCAGGTGCAGGACTCAAACTGCAGTCAACTACATGGGAGTCCAGCGACATAGCCATTATGCTAACTGCTGGTCCCACTCCAGCATGTGTTTTAAGCCACCAGGCCTGAGACTCAAACTGCAGTGGACCAAGTGAGAGCCAGTGAGGTAACGTTATGCCACCTGCTGGCCCCACATCTTTCTCTTTTTTTTTGAAATGAACATCAAGAATCAGTCTCGGTACTCCCAAACACCAGGAGACGTAGGCCAAATATAGATTTGCTGGAAGTCTTCTGTAGTGAAAGAGCCTGTCAGAATCACAGCACTAGGCTAGCAATCCTTTTCAATGAATCTCCCTTTCTTCATCTCTTTACTACTCTTCTAATTATAAAGCTAGGATTGAGCGGTGATCAAAAGCACATTTAGGAGTGTCCCTTAACAATCCTTGCAAAAAGTGTCTGATAGATAAATCTCATGAGAACGTGTGGGCATGTGATATCCATTTTCTCAGAAGGAACTCTGAAATCTGAGATGAAAAAAATCGTTACATCAGCGAAAAACAATGCAAGGCTACACATGCCTATAACATTTAAAAGTCTGGGCCTAAGGCAGCGAGGGGGGGAAAGAAGAGGTTTATAGATTTTTTTTTTATTTTATTATTTTGGTGTTTGACAATTTTATAATATTCAAACATTTAGATTAAGATGTACATTTTTGTTTTTAAAAATAATAATTTAATTAATTAGCTACAGGAAGAAGAACCTTCTAAATTCCCATAATATTTTGATTTTGGTATCCTAAATATTGAGATATCCTAAATTCTGGATTGCATTAAAGGAGGGTCAAAAAAGAAGAATGAAGAGAAAACAGAAGCAAAGAATATAAAAGGGAGAGGAGACCAAAATTTACCTTGTTTCATCAATATAAACTGCTTCCAGCACAGAGGCTGCATATTCGATGTTCTTCTTTAAGTCCACGACATTCACATCACCTCTCTCCAGCTGCTTCACTAGGCATCTTAGTCTATTTCAAAGAGGCAGTCAGAGAGAAATGGAGAGTTACTATAATTATATCACAATAACATAATATTAAATATACAAACTATCTAAGACTTTTATAGCTATTTCAAGGTCATCAGATAGAAATATTTTCAGATATTTTTGATATAATTAAGATCAGTCTTTATTACTTATGCAATTATTAATACTATATTCATTTCCCAATAATATTAGTGGTGTAGTTGGCTAGTTTAACTACCATTTTTTCAAGTGGAACCTTCTAGAATAGTCAAGATAACATAGACATTTCAGAAAAGTATATTCTCAAAAATAGACCTTATTTTATGGCTGTTTTGCTTTTTCAGAGTTGGCACTAAGGGAATATTTAAAGAGTAGTGTTCTGAATATTAATGTAGCTATTATTCACTGTATACAACAATAAAAATAAAGATAAAAGGGAAAAGTGCCAAAAAATTTAATCAAGATAAGAAAAAATATATAGACATATATGCTTGGTGTTTTTACTGTAATGCTTTTTCATTTGGGACAAATTTGGAAAATATTAATCTTGCTTTTGACCATAAGATGATGTGCCCCAACTTCTGAGCAATTTTAAAGCACAGAACATAGCTAAGTCATGTTTGAATTCCAAACTTAGAGCAACCAGGAGGTAATTAATGTTAGTGTTTTTAAACACTAAGTTTTGGGATAATTCTTATGTAGTAGTAGATACTTGATACAGTGCGGTAATAAAAATTGCTTCACTTAGTTTGTAACACTTTTTTTTTTTTTTTTTGGAGAGGTTTTCACTGTAGGGCGCGTGTGCTCGCCAGAC